TGTATTGTCTCTAAAAGAGTGGCACTGACAATTTTCAGTACTTGGCACAACAGAGCTCTCATTTAGGAGCTCTTTGCACCATCTCAACCATTGATACTGATAAAGTATCATGAATACTCCAGGGCATTGAGTGAGCCAAGGGTACCACATGAGCGTTGGTACCATGGAGACCAGATGGGTAGGGAAGAACTGCAATCTCCATTACCTGGTTCTGGAACCCCAGTAACAAACATATCCAGGCACCCAGAATCATTCTTGGCACCGGGCTGTGCACCAATAGCCAAGTCAGTGCCACCACTATCCACTGACAAGTCTGACAGTGGCCAGGTGGAAGTTGTGGCCCATTGTCACAATACAAGGTTCCTCCCCGCTGCCGCTGAACAAAGCCCATCCATGCCTTTCTCCGCTTTATCACCTTATTGCAATACTTGGGCAATAGACACACACGTCACAGCCATCCAGTGTCTCTCATAGAGAGTATACCACATTGTCTCCTACAGCGTGGCTGTCCAGAGTCCCTGAGCCAGGCTTAGAGGAAACTTTTTCAGAACAGGAAGAAGGGTTGAAAGGGGAAGCTTTTCCTCCAGCAAACTTCTCTTTATTTCTATCAGATGAGGCCTCGCTCCCCTTCCTCCCGTCACTAGGTGATGATCATAAGAATTTTCAGAATCCTGCGAAGAGGGTGGCAGATGAGCTGCAGATTCCTGTACAGAAGATGGCACATACACATCCTATCCCTCAAAGTGGCAGACTTCCTGTTTCAGCATTTGCAACCCAACTCCATCATTGTGGATGTGGTTAAGGCATGAAGCAACTAACATAAGGTTAACTTAGCCCCATACAATCGGTTTGGCAAGATGGAGTATTTGTTGCTAACATAACTTTTTAGAATTGTGAATTATCAGAGTGTTATGGCCAAATAAGATTTTAGTAATTATGGAAAACTCAGTGTGTTTCTGGAACATTTAATGGAGACACAAAAGTAGCAATTTCAGGCCATCCTTAAAAAGGATCAGTTAATAACCATATTGATGCTAGATACAGCAGCATGAGTGTTCTTCATTGGTACTGAGGCAGGCTTCTTGACTACACCTTTCTCATTGCCCAAAAATGGCATATGACTTAGTTTGAAGGGTCCAAACTCTTTCACAGAAAAGACCGATTCTTCTTTCCAATCCTGGAATCCTGGACCACATTACACTCCCTAGGAAACTACACTGTAGGGCAGAAGAGAAGATATACTTCTCAGCCACACAATACCCACCATCTCAGCACAGTTACAAGCCATAATTAAAAGAACCAGAACTCAAAAGTGGAAGAAGTCTGCACCCTAATCCCCTACCTCTCAAGCCACACCTCTTCTAAGCACTTTTCATGGCAGGTTAAGAGCCTGAACAATTAATTATATCTTGCAACATCAGTGATCACCAACCAGTAGATCAGGATCTATTGATAGATCTTGGAGCCTCTGACAGGTGATCTTGACTGGTTTGGCCAAGAGGCTATCAAGTGCCAGCACTTTAGCTGCCCCTCCTCCACTGCTGCACTACTCCTGCCCTTTGCCTGAGAGCTGCCTCCCCCAACCCTCGGTAGCCTCTTGCTTGCTGTGCAGGATAGAGGAAGGAGAAGAGGGGTGCTGATGTCAAGGTGCCCACTCTCCCACCCTCTATTCTATCTCCACAAAGCAGAGTGAGGGTCACAATAGGACTTGGGAGGGAATTTGCTGGCTGCCTTTGGGAGGGGTGCAGGGCCATGTCAGGGATGAGTCTGCTTTAGCCCCACTGCACCACCACCCAAGAGCCACCTGATGTAAGCAGTGCCCAGTCGGGGCCCACATCCTGAAACCCTACCCCAATCATTAACTCCCTCCTGCACTCCAAACACCAGCCCTACCCTCAAGCACCCGTGTATCCAAACACCCTCTCAGATCTTGCCCCTAGAAACCCTTCCAGCACCCCAACTGCCTGCCCTAAGCTCAGCTCACAGCCCCTCTCACACTCCAAATCCTGTGATCCAAGACCAGAGCCTGCACCCCAACCCACTGCTCCTACCTGATAAAAGTGAGGGAGGATGGGGAAGGAAGGGAGGATGGAGTGAGCAGGGGGCGGGGCCTCCAAAAAGGCACAAAGGAGGTTGGGCAAGGGTATTTGGGTTTGAGGTAGACCTTGGCTTGCACTTAAATTGAAAAAGTGATCTTGTGCTTAAAAAGGTTGGAGACTACTGGTTTACATCTACACACCTGTCACGTCCCTTCAGAATTCGCCTAGCCCTATTTCACAACAATTGTATCACTTCTGACAAATGGGTTCTAGGGATTATTTAGAAGAGTTACGCCATTCAGTTCATGTCCCTTCCCCACTCCAACCCTCCTTCCCCATTCCTCTTCATGGATCCTTGTAATGAGAACCTACTTCATCAGGAAATGTATCATTTTTTTTTATCCTACTATATTTTTAAGCCAGCTCCCTGCACATACCAGGACCCTGCATGTAACCTTGAAGGTTAATCAATGAGCCCAGGCTCATCGGTTAACCGTGAACATGGTTACACTTTCAATGCCTAATTGACTCGAAGACTATCCAGATCAGGTCTCTGGTTGCTTTCATTGTTATAAAGGGCACAGTGAGCTTCTGTACAGAGTCCATGTGCACTTCACGAAGTCAATTTCTACCTTGGTCACATTCCTTAGTAATCTGCAGAGCAGTGACGTAGGCATCTGCCCATACACTCACGGAACATTATGTGATCACCGAAGAGTCAACCCCCAGTGCCACCTTTAGCTCCCTAGTATTCTATGTAGTAACAGATTCCACGCCGAAGTCCCAGCCTCCTGTGTTGAGTACTGCTTGGGGGACAGCTACAGTGGAGCATCCATAGGAACACTACTCGAAGAAGAGGAGGAAGTTACTTGCTTTGTGCAGTAACAATGGTTCTTTGAGGTGTGTGTATCCCTATGGGTGCTCCACCACTCACCTTCCTCCCTTCTACTTTAGAGTTCTCTATAGGGTTCTGTGGTGGAGAAGGCTTTTTTCACCTGCTTAGTGCTAGATAGCCTCGAGGGAGTGGACATGCAGTGCCTCAATGAACACTGCTACCAAAAATCTCCAATTAGAGGCGCAGGGGCACACATACACCTACACCATAGGTACACACATCTTGAAAAACCATTATTACTGCACAAGCCTAGTAACTTCCTCTCTCCAGAGCTATTGCTTTATGTTCTCTGCAGACACTGATAAATAACACTGTATTGGGTATAAACTCAGGTCACATTTTTGAGATTTTCTCTGCCATAATAACGTCTAGTAACAGTTGAAAATCAGTCAGATTCTGGGACACAATTCTGCAACAAAGGGGCAAATTCTGCAGAAATTCTATGGCCAAAAATTAAAATTGCAGAATACATGGGGTGTGTCATTGCTGGTAATCTAAGAGGTCAGAGATTAAGCCTGCCTGATAATGCATATGGGGGGAGATACTTATTTCAATACTTAGTCATGGAAGTCAATCACTCATTGTTTAGGAGCTTCAGGGGGTAGTCGAGTTAGTCTTTTACAGAAAAAAACAGCAAGCAATTGATCTGGGAGCACTTTATAGACTAACAAAACATGTAGATGGTGGTATGAGCTTTTGTGGGCATAGCACACTTCTTCAGATGACCGGAGTTTAAACATTGTAAAACATTATTGTCAGTGGAGGTCTGTGTTGTGTGCCAGTCTTGCAGCTATTGTATACTAATTTCCACAGTGATAACGTTGCACTCACCCAGTAAAGAATACAAATAAATACCTTTCTTTTTCTTTCCCTGAAGCCGAACAACAACTTACCCTTACACAGAAACCCAGATGTATAGCCAAAACACCGGGGGGAATTACTTTGATACTCAAGGAGGTTCTGCACAAGTGACAACAGTGGTCTCATCTCATAGTATGGTTGGCTCTGGAGGTATTCAGATGGGTGTCACAGGAGGACAACTCATTAGCAGCTCTGGAGGCACCTATCTGATTGGCAATTCAATGGAAAATTCTGCTCATTCAGTGACTCATACAACACGGGCCTCTCCAGCTACAGTAAGTATTCAGAAATACCTGATTTTTTTAGAGCAAGTTTCTTGGCTCTTGTTGGGCTCTTTTATGATTATGTATGTTTTCAGTAACAGAAATAATGTCTTTGAAATAATAAGTGACTTTGGCACTATCCTGGAAACATTTATAAATGTGCTTAAGTTTGTGCATATAAATTATTCCATTTACATCACTGAGCTGCTCATATGCATAAAACTGTGTGCATGCTTGAATGTTTGCAGGATCAGGGCCTTATGGACATGTTTTTTCCTGCTTTCTGAAAATGAAGCAAAATATTACTTTGCTAGGAATACTTCATTTATATAACTTAATTTTATAACTATTATCTCAGTCCTACAGGTATATATAACTTCTTTCCATTCATTACATTTTCTAAATCCAGTTTTGGTATTTATTTTGTACCCTATCTCAAAATAGTCATAATTAGTTCTGAATAGTACCATTATATTAACTTGTAATATTGTTCTGCTTGTAGACAAGTACTAGTTATTTCTGTTAATACCCAAATGCCCCAATCTAATAAGAATCAGAACCTTATTGTATTAGGTGAATTACTAATAGATGTGAAGATGCATTCTGTTACCACAGTGATGGGCAACCTTAATCTTTAAAGATAAACAACAAAGCAAACATGGTCCTATCCCTTTAACTTAGTCATGATTCTAATTAAGAAATATAGGTTTATATTTACTACGTACTTACTGAATAGCCCTAATGTACATTTTTAGCTACTCCCTGAGGATATTCTGCCATAATTATGGACAGTAGAAATTAAAGGACAAGAGAAATTATGAAGAGTGAAAGAGAAAGAGAAAACTAAAAATATCCTTGGGGAAGAATAGTGAGATGAAGCATGACTAAATAATATTTATATATTATGAAAAAAATACTAAAAAACTAAGGGATCTTAGTTTTGGAGACAGCTGAAATCAGTAAAAATCAACTAATAATACGACAACATTGGATGCTGTATGCGTTTGAAATGATGGGCTCATTTCTGTGGCATCAGATAATGCAAATGATCTTGTAAAAGAGCAATTAATTGCATTAATATAATCAAGGATTAAGTGAAATAAACTTCCATCACTATATAGTGTTGTGAATTCTTTTATTGAGAACTATTATGAATGAAAAGAAAAAAATTAAAAGAATTGTGAAGCATAGCCTAAGTAATGTTGTACTGAAAAATTAAGAGAACAGAGATTCAGATTGCAGCAGTTTCTTGTATGTTTCTGTGAACACTAAAAGAAAGGGATTATATGTTGCAGCACTCACAGAATTTTAATTTTAAAAGGTGGTTCTTAAAGGAGTATCACTGATAAATCAGATATATTTAATTTAAAAAAAATCTCTGATCATATATTTTCCCTTTTCATGGCTTTTATGAACAACATTTTGCACTAGTTCCTTCTATAACACAATTCAATGAAATAAAAGACATTTCAAGTTATGGGTCTTCTAGCCAGTTTAGCATGACCCACCCTGTAGGATTATAAAATAAGTGTGGAACTAGAGTAATTTCCTGTAGGCAAAAGTGAACAGAAGCATTTTCTACACTAAAGTAAACTTGACAAAAGCTGTTTATAGAAAAACAATTGACAATTTTTTCTTGTGTTCTCTTAGCTGTTATTAGTGGTCTTAAGTTTGAATAAGAACATCCTTTCCTTTCAACCCAGTTTGTCTTGTTACCTGGTCATACCAGTACAGATATAATCTTGTGTTTAATGGTATGATGTCATTGTGTTGCCATATAAAATAATATGTCATAAGTTCAGCAATCTGAGGTAACAGCAGAATAAAATCAGTGAAAAAGATGAGCTCAGTTAAGGTATACTGTTGATTAAATGCCAATAGCAAACATAATTGAAAAAAATCAGAAACATGGGAAGAGTACTGGAATAGCTTAAAATCATTTATATTTGAAAATTTTTACTAGTATGAAACTCTCATGTTAAATTTTTCAACCAAAAATTAGATTTTTTTTTCTCACAAATATGGAAGCATGTCTCAGTATTTACAAAGGATTTTATAATATAATCTAGAATTCAACAATTATATTTGCAAGGGCAATATTTGCTTCACATATGAAATGGAAAAAAATGTCTTTTAAGAGCATAGACAACTTAAAATATGGGTTTTCCACTAGTTATATTTTAACACGTTAAGACAAGCCATATTATTTTCTGTGTTTTTATAATTTTGAATAGAAATAAATGGCTTACAACATAAAATATATTTTAAGGTAAATATACTGATTTCCCCTATTCTAGAGCCAGATGTTTAAAAAAATTGTCGTAAGTGTATGGTGTGATTGTGCATTACTAAAGCAGTTTTGTTGCAGGGGTACAGCAAAACTGATACACTTAATTCAAATATGTAAAATTGCTCTTGAATAATATTTTTCCTCTTCTCCTGTGTTGATAGGTATATTATATTGGAGTGTCTTTTAAGGAAACTGAACAAATTGCAGATGCATTTCTTACTGATAAAATGTTAAGCAGGAAATTGCAAAATAGTGTATATTTTTTATTACGTTAGGCACTCGGTATTTATGGGTTCAATTGATTACATGAATGGGTTGACTGAAGTATAACATTTTCAGCTCACATGGTTAACTGATTTGGAATACCTACTGAATTTTAATTGTACTTGGAAGTTAAGAATATACCATCCAGTCTTTAGCAATAAAACTGTTTTTATTTGCATAGCTGACTCAAGCTCAGATAGCTAGAGCTCATTTCACTTGTGACCCTCATCTTAATTACATCATCATAACGTTTTTCTATACTTGTCTAAAGAATTATTTTGAGAGATTTAAATAATGTGTATAAAAACTCTT